GAGGAGGTACAGCGTGAAATTTTGGCTGTGAAGGAGGAGAGAGATGGATATCTGGAGAGGCAAGGGTCTTTGGCTTGTGAGGTAGAAGCACTAGATAAAAAAGTGAGTGAGTTGCAAGCACTGCTTAATCAGGAGGAGCAGAAGTCAGCTTCCCTTAGAGATAAGTTAAACATTGCAGTTAGAAAAGGAAAGCAATTGGTGCAACAGCGTGACGGTCTGAAACAAAATCTTGATGAGATCAATTCTGAGGTGGAACGCTTGAGATCTGAGATCAAGATAGGGGAAGGTAAACTTGCAGAGTATGAAGAGAAGTTCAAGGATTTGTCTGCTTATCCAGGGAGGGTAGAAGCCCTAGAGTCTGAGATTTTGTTCTTACGGAATTGTTTGAAAGAAAGTGAGCACGATTTGCAGGAGAAAGGAAATACTTTGAGCTTGATCTTAAATGTTTTAGGCAACATTGATGTTGGAGATGATGCTAATTCTGGTGATCCTGTTTTGAAGTTGGAACATATTTGGAAAGTGTGCTGTGATTTGCGTGCAGATATGGCTTCTTTGGAACAGGAGGCTAGGAAATCAAAAAGAGCAGCAGAGCTACTCCTTGCAGAACTGAATGAGGTTCAAGAGAGAAATGATGGTCTCCAGGAAGAGCTAGCAAAATCTGTGAGTGAACTTGCTACACTCTCCAAGGAAAGGGATCTCACAGAGGCCGCCAAGCTTGATGCTCTTTCTCGTCTTGAAAAGTTATCTACAGCTCATTCTGAATTTGCGGGATTAAAGTCTGGAGTAGATCAACTCAGGAGGGGGTTCCATGATGTTAGTAATTTACTGGCTGGTGTTTTTCACCAGGACATGGAATTTTTGCACAACCTAGAATCTGGTATTGACTCCTGCCTCAAATCAAGCAGTGCTGCTGATGTGGTTGATGGACCCCTTTTTACTACAACGGGTGGATTTATTACGAGCAAATCAGATAAGGTACTTTACTATGTGTGCGCTCAAACATTGGTTCCACTGTATTTTACAACTTTCTTTTTATTATTCTTGTTTATCTATGTGGCTTGTTAAAGGCAATTTCCTACTTATTCTAGGTTCTTTGTTTCAACTCTGTTGCATCTTCCTCCTGCCCAAAAATACTAGTAAAATTCATCTAAAACAAGTGCAATGGTTTTGTTATACAGTATGGTGGTGTTGTTCACTGCAGTAAGCTTGTTAGAAATGAAGCCTCTTTAGTGTCAAATGATTATAAAAGAATTCATTTTATGTATATGTATTTTCACACTCTTGGATAACAAGTGATGTGACAGATGATGTAGCATTATTTTGTTGAAAGTAACTAGGACTCATATTACAGTAAGTAGGACCAAGAATGAAGAAATGAATACATTCGCATAATTTGGTATCCAAAATTTGGTATAGTAATACTCTTATCATTTGCTTACTGTTATTATCATCATCACTAATGACTATTATGCATATCATGATTGTTGTTTACACTTTTTCTGTTATATTTTGTATGGCAATTATAGTCTTTAAATTTCATCTGAAGCTTTTTTCTCTCTTATCAGCTTCAGTTAGACTATTAATTTTTAAAATATATAAATAGCATTTTCTGTATCTTCTAATTTCAGTTTCCCTGTTCAGGAGAACTTTACTTTGATGAATTCTTGGTCAGACTCCAACATGCATGGCCGTTCGGATGACAATTTTATTGTTGAAATCGTTACTTATGTAAGGCATTATCTGCAAGAACTCATGGTGGAGGTTGGTGCGCTTAAAGAAAAATTAGATGAACACTCAGTTTCATTACATGAAAAAACCAATAACGTATCAAAATTAATCGCAATTGTTCGTGGAGAATTAACTTCCAAAAATGAGTCAGTTGATTCCTTGAAGAGAGACTTGTTGCATACGGAAAGAGTTGAAAAGGAAAAAGACAAGGAGCTTCTTCTCTTGCGTAGAAATATTGGCTTACTTTTTGAAGCATGCACTAGTTCAGTTATGGAAATGGGTAGAAGAAAAACTGAATTGGCTGGAAATGGTTGGGCTGCTGGAGATCAAGGGATGAGATTGAAATCAGCAGAATTTCCCGTCGATGGACTTTCTTTTGGTGGAGAGGAGCAGTTTCACTCTGAGGAATGTGTCAGGACTATGACAGACGGGCTATTGTCGACTGTGAATGATTTTGGTTCTCTGACAGCTGAAATTGTGGAAGGTAACCAAAAGGAATTGAAGATTACCATTTCCAAGTTGCAGAAAGAACTTCAGGAGAAGGACATTCAAAAGGAAAGGATCTGCATGGAGCTTGTAAGTCAAATCAAGGGGGCTGAAGCGGCTGCAACAAGTTATTCAATGGATCTTCAATCCTCAAAAACGTTGGTGCATGATTTGGAAAAACAGGTGGAAGTGATTAAGGGTGAACGTAACCTATTGGAGCAGAGAGTGAAAAAGCTAGAAGATGGTCGTGCCACTTGTACCGATTTACAAGAGAGGGTCAGATCACTGACTGATGTGATTGCTGCCAAAGACCAAGGTCAGTTCTCATTGACATTCGATCCACACCATCAAATATATAATTTGAATGTTTATCTTTTGAAGGAAGTTTAAAATGGTTATTTAAATAATCAATAATTATAAAATTGTTTGTGATTGCAGAGATTGAGGACCTAATGCAAGCACTTGATGATGAGGAGGTGCAAATGCAAGGTCTCACTTTCAAGATTAAGGAATTGGAAAAGGTTGCGGAACAAAAGAACCTAGATCTTGAGAACCTTGAAGCTTCTCGCGGGAAGGTTATGAAAAAGCTTTCCGTCACTGTGAGTAAGTTTGATGAGCTACATCATCTATCTGCAAACCTCCTTGCTGAGGTGGAAAAGCTCCAAGCACAATTGCAAGATCGGGATGCTGAGATATCTTTCTTAAGGCAAGAGGTCACTAGGTGCACCAATGATGTTCTTGTTGCATCTCAAACCAGCAACAAAAGAAATTCAGACGAGATCCATGAGTTATCAACATGGTTTGATATGAATATTGCTCGGGTTGTTGTGCACAATGCATATCTTAGGGATAAGAACAATGATAATGAGTCTGAACATAAGGAAATATTTAAGAAAAAGATTGATTGTATTATATCAGAATTGGAGGATCTACAGGCTGTAGCTGAAAGCAAAGATACGCTATTGCAAGTTGAGAGGAGTAAGGTAGAAGAATTAACACGGAAGGGAGAAAGTCTTGAGAAGTCTTTACATGAGAAAGAATCACGACTAAATTTGCTTGAAGGTGTTGGAGATTCTGGCAGAGGAACTAGTATGACCTCTGAAATTATTGAGGTTGAACCTCCGGTGAGATGTTATATGTTTATTTGTTTATTAACTTGCATTTCTAGGCCTTTGTTAGAGTATTGTAATGTCATTAATGACTTTAAATTTGTGGATTTTTTTTAATAGAAAAACAACTGGGCGGTATCTGGGACCTCCATAGCACCTCAAGTCCGCAGTTTGCGCAAAGGGAATAGTGACCAAGTTGCAATTGCGATAGATATGGATTCTGAGAAGACTAGTAGGTTAGATGATGAAGAGGATGATAAAGGTAAAATCCTATACTGATATAGCTTCTGTCATCTGTTACTGTTCTTTTCCTCTAATTCCAAGTCAGACAAGTCAAAGGCATTTCGTACTCGTGTTCAACTTTTCATTGTTTCTTTTGCTGTAGTTCATGGTTTCAAGTCACTCACTACATCAAGAATTGTTCCAAGATTTACAAGACCTGTGACTGACATGGTCGATGGCCTTTGGTACGCATATCGAATTCCATATTATTGTTATTTTTTTTGGTAATATTTCAATTTGAAACTTTCCTAGATTTTGTGATAAACTAAATCATCTTGTACACAATCTCCAGGGTTTCTTGTGAGCGGACTCTAATGCGGCAACCTGCTTTACGGCTTGGCATTATACTCTATTGGTTTATACTGCATGCGCTTCTTGCTACCTTTGCAATTTGAAAGCCAAATGGTCAGAGATCCTCTTGTCAGGTGGTGTGTGGTTGGAAATCTGTTTTATTGAACATCTGATCTTGCTTTACTGATATGTCTGGAAATTCTGCTTGGAAGTCAAATCTTATGCTCTGCGTTTGCTTGTGTTGCAGGTTCACATTTGGTTGGGATGCAAGATGGGCTCCTAGTCCCAACTATGATTATGCTTTTATTGGGGTATTAAGTTGGAAGCTTAATCTGCTATTTTTTCTCCTTCCTAGATGTGGTTAGATTGATTTATTATTTTGCTCAACCAAGCAATTCAGATTCCCATTTTTTACTGTAACGAATCTCGAAAGCTTGGTTGCATCTAATAAGAAAAAAGAAATTCCATCATAGAGATCATAGGTCAAAATTTGTTTACCTCAATACCCAACCAAAGGTTGTACACATGATAGCTGTTATTATTATAGGTTCTCTTATTAAAATTAGAGGGAATTTAGCTGTAACAAAAGCTCCAAAGTAGTGCTTTTATGGTATTATGTAATGTAAATTCCAGGGATATATGCGAAGGCTTTGACTCGGTTTTCTGCAAGCAGATTTTGTACATGTCTACTTGGTTCTTTTTGGTCATCAATTAATATCTACTTTTTTCGAATTGGTTCAAATTGGGCTCTTTCTTATTATATATTTCTTATTCCAAGCGATATGGGGAAATGAGAATTCGAATACAGGATTTTGGATACAGTAACTGCTCTTAACAACTTGAATTATTAGCTCCGTGTGTTTCAAATTGCCTTTTATTTTCATAGAATTGTGTCCATCTCAAATTTCTAGATGTTGGTTTCAGTTTTTTAAAACGAAATTTGAAAAAGTAAAAAAAAACAAATATTGTTCCCTACAATGTAAAATTGATGCAACATTTCGAGGATCATTGAATATCAAATGAAGCAGTGTGTTTATTGTGTCAATTTGTCTAACATACACACATACATACTCACTCAAACATAACCGCATGCAGTTTGCTATCCTAAAGTGCTTCAAATTATTGGCCGCAGATGGAAGCTACCCAATTCTGCTTCAAATTAGCACCGATGATCTATAGGAAGTCTTTAACATTGCCTCTAGGATTCTCTTGAAACCTTGCTATCCTAAAGTGCTTCAGATCCACTCCTTGAGCCTCCCCACTAAGTGCAAGGTCAGCCAATATCCTCCCAACCACTGGAGACAGCTTAAACCCGTGATCCGAAAACCCGCCACCCACCACCACATCCTTCCCAAACTCCCCACCCAAGAAATCAATCACAAAGTCCTCATCGGGGGTCATGGAGTACATACACAGCTGAGTCTGAGTGGCCACAGGCCCACCGGAGTCAACCATACCGGAGAACCTCCCCTCAATCCACTCCTTCAACGGATCCAGCGTGTTCGGAGCCAGCGGGTTCCCGGGACCCCACTGCCTCTTATCCGGGTCACATGGGCACCCGCCATGCACGGCAACCTTGATCAAACCGGGGTACTCCAACGAGGGTGTCCCATAAATGTAGTTGTCCCCATAGCTAGCAAAGGTTGGAAAGTCACCACCAATGGCAAAACCACCCTCATGCCCCTCCTTAATCCTCCAATAACAAACAGCGGTCTCCAATGGCTGCATAGGCAGCTCAATCCCAGCAACCGTTTTAACTAACTTTGTAGTCCAAGCCCCAACGGTCACCACACACTTCTTCCCCCAAAACCTCTCTCCATTTTCTGTGCACACCCAAACCCCTCCTCTCACCCCATCTCTCTCCACACCCTTCACCTCCATATTGTCCCTCAAAACGGCACCATTCTGCAGAGCAAGTGTTTGAAACATAGACACAGCCTTGATGGGTTTAATAACCCCACCATGCTCCGTTGCCACGGCCACCCAATCCTCCGGAATCCGAACCCGACCCGAGAACTCCCGATCCAGCTGGTCCCGGTTCATGACCCGAATGGGGACCGAATTTTTACCACAGCTCTCAACAATGGCATGCAGAACTTTGTTGTTTGCCGGGGCCATGTCCAAATGGTGAGCTTTGAAGTAGACATTGTAGCCGATCTCGGACTCGGCTTGCTGCCAGAGCTTGTAGGACTCGAGAACCAATGGCGTGTAGTAGTCTTCCGGGTAGGTGGCACGGATCGTCCGAGACTCGCCATGGGAGGAGCCGTGGTGGTGGAGGAAGTTGAATTGCTCGAGGAGGAGGGTCTTCTGGTCACGCTTGGCCGTCTGGTAGGCGGTGGAGCTACCCATGATGCCGGCTCCGACCACGACGACGTCGAATTCATTGGCGGAATATTCCATCTCTGAGAAATTTTTCAGGCGATTGTTGGAGGAAGAAGAAAAAGACAGAGGAAGACGGTTGACAGGTGATTTTTGCTGGCTACTTGCCACAGGTGGTGGAGGAAGTCGAATTGCTCGAGAGTCAGTGAGAGTGTGGTTTTAAAGTGGGATTTTTTGGAACCCGCCAAATTCTTCCTGTGAATTACGATATTGCCACTGGTTCATTTGTATGCTTTGTCCTTTGTGCAGTAATTTTGTGCGATTCGCGCCACTTTACTCTGTTTTTTTTTCTTTTTCTTTTTTCTTTCTTTCAATTTATAAATAAAAACATCATGCTTTAAGACTTTTGGAAATTTTAAAAGGTAAAAAGAAGAAGGGTATATTCTTGCTTGTCTCAATTCCTTAATTAATATGAATCGAATATTTATCATCGGTTAAGCATGTCTTCCACAAGAGAAAGTGAAACACGAGTTTCAAATTTACTAGTATAAATTGATTGCTTCAGTATGATAAACCTAATCAGAATTAGTTATGCACCAAAACTTTGTGTCCTAGTCCACTTAGGGAGAAAAAGGCTAACGATCAGTATCGGATTTGATATTAGAGAAGTATATATTCTCCATTACAGAGTTGCATTATGCGGATTAATTGTGAGTTTCTATTTTTGCCGTGCGATCATTTCAGGCTTCATTTCTTCCTCATTTCACTCTTCTCTCTCTCTCTCCTTTTCTTTTCCTATGTTTGTGTGCTTAATGAAAAATTAGATGAACACTCAATTTCATTACATAAAAAAACCAATAATGTATCAAAATTAATTGCAATTGGTCGTGGAGAATTAACTTCCAAAAATGAGTCAGTTGAATCTCAATCGAATATTTATCATCAATTAAGCATGTCTTCCACAAGAGAAAGTGAAATACCGCAAAATTACAAATTTACTAGTATAAATTGATTGCTTCAGTATGATAAACCTAATCAGAATTAGTTATGCACCAAAATGTTGTGTCCTAGTCCACATAGGGAGAAAAAGGCTAATGATCACTATGGGATTTGATATTAGAGAAGTATATATTCTCCATTACGGAGTTGCATTATTCGGATTAATTGTGAATTTCTATTTTGTCGTGCGATCATTTCAGGCTTCATTTCAACGCTTTATTTCCTCTCTCTCTCTCTCTCTCTCTCTCTCTCTCTCTCTCTCTCTCTCTCTCTCTCTCTCTCTCTCTTTCTTTTTTTAAAAAAATTCTTCCTTCTTGTTTTTCTTTCGTTCTCTTCTCTCTCTCTCTTTCCTTTTCTTTTCCTACGTAATTGTGTGCTTAATGAAAAATTAGATGAACACTCAATTTCATTACATGAAAAAACCAATAATGTATCAAAATTAATTGCAATTGTTCATGGAGAATTAACTTGCAAAAATGAGTCAGTTGAATCCTTGAAGAGAGGCTTGTTGCATATGGAAAGAGTTGAAAAGGAAAAAGACAAGGAGCTTCTTCTCTTGCATAGAAATATTGGCTTACTTTTTGAAGCATGCACTAGTTCAGTTATGGAAATGGGTAGAAGAAAAACTGATTTGGTTGGAAATGGTTGGGCTGCTAGAGATCAAGGGACACTACTACAAAAATCGCAATAGACGACAGGAATCCATTGTCTTGTAGATAGTTTTTAAATTGTCGTGAAATTGACCACCATCTTTTGATGTATAAAATCATGATGGTAAATTACTGATGTTGTTACAACATACTACGTCATCTCCAACTAAAAACTGACGTGTAATTAATATAAAAACTGCAAAAAAAGGCAAATTTCAATAAGCTTAGACAACGCTTTAGAAATTTCGCGTTGTCTGAAGGAGATAACATGACACAATTTATCCACATCCCGTTGTAACATAGAGTAACCACAACAAAAAATATTAACTTACCGTAATGTAGAATCCTTGTCACGACGGTACTTTAAAATAAACCGACGTGGTTAATACTGATTCCACGATGCTTATGGTCTTTACCGACGAGCAAATGAAGTAGTAACAGCTGTAAATATGGAAAGAACGTAGTTATTATTATATACTGTGATGCTACTCTTTTAAAAAGTTGTCCTCGTTACCTAACTTACCATGTCACCAATAATATAAATATAGCTAGACTTGGCATTCGTGTCATGTTTGCAGTGTTCGTGTCAACCCGTTAAGAACACGAAACAACCTGTTAAGAAAACGGGTGGTTAATATCAAACACGAACATAAATCGTTACAATTCATGACTTACACAACACGACAAGGTAAGAAAAAAAAACTTAATATGAAAAAGAAACCAAAACCACTACGCATCCACACTCACCTTAATCAACCAACATTAATGGATTATCAGTTAGATCATATTGGAAAATTGGTTCACCTAAAGGATGCTTAACTTCGGAGGAAGCAATCAGTCGCCAGGTAGGCACGACCGGTCTTTTATGATAAAATGCATACATAAAAATCAAACATTGGAAATGAGAAAATGGGTTATGATAAAAAAGTGATATAGATTTCCAAGGCTTGTGCTCGATTTCATTCATTGCTTGGGAGCCCTAGCCTTCCATCTTCTTCCAAAAAAGGTTCGCCATAGATTTATGGTTTGCACTCTTGAGGTAGCTGCCACAACAACCTTTCTTATTCTTTCAATCACGACCAAAGTGTGGGGGCTTTTTCATTCCGGCAACTAAAGATGGGCCTAGGCTGCTATAAAGATCAAACGGCTAGAGCTGCCCCTGTGTCTAAGTTCAAGAATCAGGCCCCAAGAGTGCTTCGAAAGGTTCATAGAGCCTTAGGAAACATCTTAACTTTCTTTACCAACAAAACCAACAGTTGCTTACAGATAAATATTTTGGCTTGACTTGAGAAGCTTGTGGCATGAGAGCTGAACATTCTTGAGTTTAGCAAAAGAGAGAGAGGGCTTGGGTTTCACATGAGAAACAGAGGCTCAAAGTAAGGGGAAGAGGGAGTTTTTGGGAGGATTTGTTGAGGGAATAGAAGTAAAGATGAAGATGGAAGAATGAGTGATTTTAGCAAATTTTCAGTAGCTTGATGAAAGCTTCGTTAGGCTCTTGAGTGTTTTGCCAGAAGAGAAAAGGGGAAGCAATGGAAGAACATGGCTCAAAATTGAAGGGTTCCTATGGTGAGAGGTGCTGCTTGCTCCTTCTGGATGTGGTTATGGGAGAGAGATGAAGAAGATGGAAGAATGAGTGGTTTGAGCAATTTTTCGGGAGCTTGACAAAAGCTTCATTAGGCTTTGAAATGGCTTGCCAGAAAAGAAAATGGGAAGATATAGAGGAATAGGGCTTGAAATCGAAGGGTTCCAGGGATAAGATGTGATGCTTCCTCTCTCTAGATGTGGTTATGGGAGATAGAGGAAGAAGATGGAAGAATGGGTGGTTTGAGCAATTTTCCAACAGCTTGAAGAAAGCTTCATCAGACTCTGGAATGGCTTGCCAGAAGAGAAAATGGGAAGAGAATGAGGAATAAGGTTTGAAATTGAAGGGTTCCAGGGTTGAGAGGTGATGCTTGCTCTCTCTGGATGTGGTTATGATGATAGGTAAGAGATGACCCTTTTTATAGGCGCTGGAAGCTCCTTCTTCCCAAGAAACCCTAGTTGGTTTCTCCCTAATCTGCCAAGTCTCCCATTCCATTTCTCTTCCTTTAATTCATCCTCGTTTAGTGAAATCCTTCTCAGTTCAAACACTCAGAGACAAGATTTTTGAAGGCTTTAGAGGCTTCCTGCAGCTGCCCATGTGACCATCTCCTATTTTGGGCTACCCTTTCTCCTTTTTTTCCCCTTCATTTTATGGCAAGAACTGGTGGGAGAAATGAGTGGTAATGGTGTTGGTCTGATGGGTGTTTTGCTCAAGTATCTTTTAGTTTTTTGGATGGCTTGTGTTGGGTTTGTCTTTGGCCATGTGCTAGAGACTTCCAGCAGCTTGCACACGCAAATACCTTTTGGTTCTTTAGATGGTCAATCATGGTTTTGTCTCCAGTTGTGTGCTGGAGACTTTCAGATATTTTCCAAGTCACTTGGGCCATTCCCTAAGGTGATGGGCTAGTTTACGAAGGGGATGGACCAACTTTCTAAAGTGATGGACTATTTTTTACTAAGGTGATGGGCCAATTTTCTAAGGTGACGGGCTACCTTTTCTCCCTTTCATGCTTACCTATATATTTGGGCTCAAGAAATGGGCTTGAGTTTTGAGGCTCCCAAGCGGTAAAAAACTTCCACTTCTTGGCTCATCAATGAGCCTCATGAATGCTCGTAACCATCTATACCACAATCCACTCAGCAAGCCTCGGGCGTTCGCATGGCTTGGGTCCACTTAAGCTTGTAGCATGGCTTGGTGCAGAAATAAGGATTTTCTGCTTGGCGTGGCGTGTTATTTGTCATGCTTGTGCTTGAGCTTTGCCATTTTATAAGGGTTATGGCAGGGCCAAAATGACGCTTGACAGGACAATGAGCTTGTTACGACCTTTCTGCGTGGCATGTTGCAGATTTGCTTGGCGTGGCATGCTTGCAAGCGCAAATGACGAACTCTTGCAAACCCAAGTCGGGTTTCTTCCCAAACTAGGTGTCATACTGGGTTATAAATATATTTGGGCCCAACCTTAGATTTATTGGGCCTCAAGACAAAGACAACCCACCATCTGTATTAAAAGACAAACCAAGAAAAGGCCACGAATACACAGGACAACAAAAATCCAAAATATATTAATTTAAATCGAAAATCAAGAAAGACATCAACTTGAGAGCAAGAAGAAGAGTGAGAGCAATCGTACCTTAAGAGAGGTTTTGAGAAGGGAAGAGAACATTTGACACATAGATCGCAAGAAGAAGAGATGATGAGGTTGAGAGAGAGAATGTGAAGAGCTGGAGACGCGAAATAAAGAGACGAAGTGCTAGGTAGGTAGGGATTTTAGAATAGCAAATTACAAAATTACCCCATTAATGGGTGGATTAGTTTATTCGCGAATGAACACCGAGACAACCCGTTAGTTTAATGAGTGGCTAACGGGTCAACACGACCTGATAACTTAGAACTGAATATTGAATTTTTTTTACGAATTCATGTCATATTGATGGG